CAAAACACGGATTTTTAAAACCCAAACACTTAATGAGGACTATCAAGAAATAAGAATCATATCTGCAAAGGGGCTGCATATTATTTTGGGAGTGACTCCTTAGGCAAATAATTCAAATGGGGATTTTAAATAGCACTGGCTATTGACAAGAACTCATTCTATAAATGTCTATCTCATAAAATAAAAACAACTACAAAACAATAATAATATCAAGAGTTATTGAGTACTCCTTGCTGGCTGACTCTATTTTAAGATATTCAGCGATCCTCACAAGAACCCCATGAGGTAGATACTATTTTATTTCCATTGTACAAATTAAGAAACTGTGGCTTTTGGAGGCTGTCAAAGGCCATATATCTGGGGTGAGAGGGTTTCGGTATTTATCAAATCCAAGTATGTCTTACTCTAAAACCATACCTCTTATTTATTACATATTTAAAAATCTACATGTAAAGACCGACTATATATTAAGACAAGTCATTAACAAGGTTTGTCATTAAAAAGGCAGTGTCAACCTGCTTCCTATTTCAGTCTGAATAATTCCAGCATTCTACAAACCTCCCTTGGTGAGTTTCAATTAGCTCAGTCTGCTGGATCCTACAGCTTAACTTTGACTATTAAATGGTTAGCAGTTTTACTTGGTGAAGTCTTCCTTTAAGATTATATAAGAAAATAAGGAATGAATACCTTCGACATCCTAGTCATTCAAGAAATATTTCTTTCAAACACACAATATAAGCTGCTCCAGGAACTCACATCCTATTTGCAGGCCCATTTGCACAAGAAATGTTAACAGAGGGAAGGACCTCAGCATCAAATTACTGAAGCAGGCATTCCTTTATCAATGTTGCAAAGAGGGAAAAAGAACCTTGAGTTCAGGGGATCTAAGACAAATATATGAAATGGTAGAGTATAAACTTTGCCTTGATGGATTCTTTACAATCCAGATAAGTAAGAAAAAAAAGAAAGGTACTGTATAAACAACAGGAAAAATATTTCTCACAGTTCTGGAGGCTGAGAACTCCAAGATCAAGGTGCTGGCTGATTCACTTCCCCAGTGAGGGCTCTCTTCCTGGCTTGCAGATGGTCACTTTTTGGCTGTGTACTCACATGGCAGAGAGAGGAGGAAGCAAGCTTTCTGAGTTCTCCTCTTCTACTGGCACTAATCCCATCATGAGAGCCTCATCCTCATGACCTCCTCTAAACCTAATTACCTCTCAAAGGCCCCATCTCCAAACACTATCACACTGGAAGTTAGGGCTTCAACATATGAATTTGGGGGAGACACAATTCAGTCCACAGAATGTACATTACATCCAAACTCCAGGGCAAAAGAGATCTATGACTCTTGGTAGGAGAGTGAATAGACCAGCAGGGGAGTAATAGAAGGTAAGCGTGGAAACACCCAGTCATTTAGATTATGGATAGCCATAACTGCCAGACTAAGGAGTTCAACACTGTGACATAACTGATCTTAATCAAAGGTGTTAATCAAACTTCATTTGGTGAGATATTATAGGATGTTTTAAGGAGACGGGCAACAGAGAGTTACTAGATAGACTTGTCCCAAAGTGAATGTGCCATAAATTAATTTAACATATGACTTACTTTACAAAAATGTGATTCAAAATGGAGAAATGAGAATCAAATGAGTATGGTGATAAAAGAATCTTAAAAATCAACTGGGAATACAGGAAACAAACTATATATATCATAGGGCCTCTTCTCAAACAAGCACCTAGAAATATATAACAGCTACCATGTATGGAAACAACTTGTTTGGAGGATGGGAGAAAGGGGGCAATATACTTAGTTTTCAATCAAAGTTGGCTTTGAGAAGTACTAATATAGATGCAGGATATGTAAGGCAAAAAACAGTGCCACTCAAATTTGCTGACACAGCTTTTCTCAACTACAGTATTTACAAAAATGTTGGTTTAAGGCATTATATTAAAAAGTACAATGATTGTAACCTCAACTATTCATCTTTTTTCTCTTACCTAAAAGAGGAGAGAGGACAATTTTTATAAATGAAATTTAAGTTGTAGAATAATTAGAGAATGGGCATTGAGGGTGTGGAGGAGGAAAAAAACCGAAATAGTTATAAAAAGTCCCTTCATAAAAAAAGTTGTTGTTTCAGAAAAATAGCAAAAACAAGTATGCTAAATGACTTAGTTGCATTTTCCTGTCTTTTACTCCAAACTTCATAACCTTAGTCAAAGAATAACCTTCAGCCTTAGAGTTTCCTAAACACAAAGTACAAATAGTCATTAGAGGTTATATTTTATTTTTTATTTATGTCAAATTTATTATAGGACAATTCTTACCTCTTTTTCTTAGTAAGAATAGCTTAAAGGAGGATGAATACGACATCAGGAAAGAGCAATCTATGTCCTTTGAGACTTTTTCCTATTTAGCAAGCAAGTAATTTTCAAAACTCCCATTCTTAAAACAAAGTACAGGTGTCTATCATATATTTTTCTAATTAAAAGCTCATATATTTTTCTATATTCTCTTAAGGATTACTATAGTCCCACAGTTCTTCTAAATTTTATTAGTGTCATAAATTTTTTCTCTCTCTAAGATTTTTTTCCATTTTATTTTTTTATACGTTATACTACTTGTGCCATAATATTTTCACATATAGACTACTAACAATAGTGGGTAGAAGCATTTTTACTAAGTTTACTTATGCTGCTACATTTAGAAATGATGTAATGTTCATCTTCAGGTACATATTTCTTGACATATTATTCTAAGCAAAATTAAAGACAAACAACAATTTTGGCAGTGATCATTTCAGTAACTCTGTTGTCCCAAATCCTCTTTCAATTAGAAATTACATCCATTGTCTCTACTTTGTATTTAGGAAGATTGGTGGAATCTCCATTAACCAAAAGGTGAACGTTCATTGCTACGCACAGATAACCTTCATGACTGTTATTGATAGCTTTTTGTTGGATCAATTTTTTATACCTCCCTCCCATGCTTTATTTTTCTTTTCCTTTCCTTTCCTGTCTTCCTTCCTTTCTTGTAATAAAGATAGTTATATATGCCATATGCCTGACTTAGAGTGGTAGTATTAATGAATTTTGCCTTTTGGGAGGATACATGTATACTTAGATTAGTTACTGTTAAAATATATCAGACTGACAATTTTACTGGATCTTCCCCTTAGTTTTATCTGCTTTTGATAATATCTTATATCATTTCATTAATTTATCCAGGCAAAAGTGAGTACTTTAGGGTTGGGTCAGGTGTAGAGAGGCGCGCATGGAGGCCTTCTCATATAACCAACATCAATGTTCTTTAGGAAACCCAGTATGGTTCATTACAGTGGTTAGTTACTAAAATTTAGAAGATCTTCTACAAGGGAAACAGAGCATCTTTAATCTAGGAAGCTATAAAAAGAGAATACTAGTCGGTTTACAAATGTGGGGGTGACAATCTTTCTCATGCAGAGCTTTTCTTTAGCTTACATGACATATCTGTCTTATCTCCCAGGTACCTAAAATTCAACTTGTCTAAAATTGAGAACTAATCCTCTTTCCTTGCACACCAGCATTATCTCCTGCCTTCTCTATATACACTAGGAGAAAAAACATATTTTTTGTTCAATAATCTCTAGAGTAGTCGGTGCATGACTGCAACAAAGTTTTCACCATTTACTTTTAATGGAAATTAAGAATGATATGGCCCTTCATAAAACTAAATTTATATTTTTTGATATTCTGAAATTATACCTTCCCTATTTTCTTATTTCATGAAATGATAGTGACAATGGAGATTTTGTTTGTGGTGTTTTAGGATCTTACTTGGCAAAATAAAAGTGTAAAAAACTGAGTAAGTCTATATTTTCCCCTAGTTACTTATTTTTATTTGTACTGTTCAGTGAAAACCCCAACTCTGCGAACCCAGGTTCTCATATACTCTTCTTGTTCATTGACTTGTTCCAGTGGTTTGGAGACTTCAGTGAACCGAAGAATAACCTGGCATCTTGTTAAATATAGATTCTTGCTGCCGCCTTTCCCCCCATGAGATTTTGGCATTAGTATTTTATCCTTAATTTACTTTTCAATAATCCAGTTATTCTGTAAATTGAGTCCCTTAAAAACAAAGAAGGTGATTCCTTCAATGAGTTGTACCCACCCGTCCTCAGAAATTTTGGAACTTACTGAGTATTGAAAATTTATTGAATGAAACAGGGCACATTCTGAGTTTCCTAGGTTTTGAGAACAGGCCTGAGCCAATCAACTAATTCTAACTTTGTGTCTATGTGAATTGCAAACAATTTGCCAAGTGGAGTCCTGGCTGTTCACAAATTCGGAATTGCCCATATTCTTTCGAGAGCTACCTGCCCCCACTTGAGGGCCTCATGGCAAGTGCTCAGCTCAATTCTGTTAAAGGTTTTAAGCTTAGAGGTGGGATACACCGCTATGTTCTAAATGAAGCAGTTAACAGCGTTTCAACTTGCCCCACATCTCTGTCCCAGAACTTGTCATTTCATGATCATCTGCTTTGAGACTGCCATGTGAAGAGCCAGGTAGCCACTGGTGGTTGCGCGGCAGCGCGGGGCGAGGCCGGCCGGTGCCCGCAGCGCCCTGGCCGAGCCCAGCCGAGGACACACGCTTCCCCTCGCGCTCCCCGGGGGCACTGTGTGTGAGCCGGGCCCGGGGACCGCGGGCCCAGGGGGGCAGCTCCGCCACAGGAGACAAGACACGCCTCAGAGCGGGCAAATTCCCGGCCTCCTCTGGCCCCCGGCCAGCAGCCGCCGCCCGCCACCTCCTCTCCTCCTCCGCTC